GGGTGTAACCCCCCTTCTGCCACCAGTCATCAAAAAATGTCGTTTTTTTTGCTCTCAAAATGGAAAATTTTCTTGCTTTCTACTAGCAAAAATAATGTTACACCCCCAAAATTCGAAATACTCGGCCTGTTCCTCCCAAAAAATTCACTACACCTTCCAATGTTGGTCGACTCGAGGCAGCCCTGTACCAGAGCAAGAATCCGTCTTTTTCAAACACTATTTTCAATTTGTTGTCTTTGATTGTACCATAGATTATCAATTTAGTCCTAGTCAAATTTCGTTGCTTTTCATATAAAATCGATTAAGAGAAATGACCAACTGTCTTATATCATTTTTCTGCATTGAATTCATTGATAATATATCATGTTTACCAACAGTCTTTACATTTGATAATCGGCATGAATCACCAAGTAACAATATAGGATTCATACATACGCGCTCGATTTTTCTAAATCAATGTTGATGAACAAAAGTTTCGAAAAAAAGATAAATACTGCGGCAAGTAATCTATTTAAAGCTACAAAGACAGGAGCAATTTTAATTTATACATGTTATTGTGTTACTAGAAAAAACCATGAGCAAACATTGCGTATTGTAGTTTATTCTTATTCACATTTGATAGTCAAATATTCCAATTTTGCTTAGGGCAATCCAAAAGTAGTGAGGGAGGTACTTTATTTTCTTATAAAAAGCTTCAAAAAAAATTCTTTTTTTATCTATCGGTAGAGCTTTTTTTGCTCGATTTTTCTATGCTATTTAATCACTATTCAACTGGTATAATAATAATAAAATCTCGATAAGATCTATTTCGTTCTCATGTTTGATGATGGCATGAGGGTGTGTTTGTGGCTGTTGGTGTGGGTGTGGGTTTGAGTGTGGGTGGATATGAGGGTGTGATTGTGTGTGGGTGTATGAAAGAAGACTAAAACAACACCCACACCCCACCTAGACTCAGACCCACACCCCATCCAGACCCACACTCACACCCACACCTACATCCACATCCACACCCACACCCACTTCCACATCCACACCCAGCATGAGATGTAGTTGTGGTGTGGGTGTGAGTGTGGACGTCGATGCATCTATGATAAGGTAGTCTCACCCACATCCCACGCAAGGTGTGGGTGGGTGTGGGTGTGGGTGTGGGTGTGGGTGTGGGTGTGGGTGTGGGTGGGTGTGGGTGTGGGTGGGTGGGTGTGGATGTAGGTGTGAGTGTGGGTGTTGGTGTTGGTGTGGGTGGGTGTGGATGGGGTGGTGGCTGGGTGTGGGTGATGAGATCATATTCAAATCGACACCCACACCCACATTTCACACTAACACACCCACATCTACACCCACACCCACACCCACATCTCACACTAACACACCCACATCTACACCCACACCCACACCCCACATTCACACCCCATACCTACACCCCATACCCACACCCACACCCTCACACCCACCCACACTCACATTGTTGAAAGCTAGTTGTATTCTTGATATTAAAAAATAAAAAGAAAATTTTCAGAAAAAACGACAAAAATTTCTTGCCAACCTGATATTATCAAAAATGCAACCGACTTTCAATGAGGCTGTGTCATAAGGTTTTTTTCATAATTCTAACTGTTGTCGTCATCATGTTTGATGAAACAGCATTTTCTATTCAAACAAAGTGTGATAAGGTATACCTTTGTTTGCATTGATATTACTTTTTTTCATTTTCTCTTTCTGAAGTATGGGTAGCAGCAACAGTAGTGAGGAAAAAAGAGATGCATCGATTCTTCGTGATCCGAAACAAGGAGAAGCTAGTGAGTTGTATTGGGCTTGTCGTGCGGGAGATTTAGACACGGTAAAGAAAATCTTTCATTCCACTCCATTCGTCGATATTAATCGTCTTGAACCCAACGGAAGTACCGCACTTCATGCAGCTAGCTTCTTTGGACATGCAGATGTACTTCGTTTTTTACTTCATGAAAAAAATATCGTGCGGCATAAACGAAATCGATATGGCATGACCGCGTATGAAGAAGCACCAAATGATCAGATTCGTGTATTGTTTCATCGACCGGCAGATAATCAACGATTTTGTACTTCAGAAGATACGAAAAAGTCATTGATCATGCCGCTTGACGAAATTTCTGAAGATATCGACGAACGTCATCCTAATGAAGACACAGAGGCGATTCCAGATGATTGGGTTGTTGGATCAAAAAGTGATGGTGATATGCGTTTGGAAATATTTCTCAAGTATATACTGGCAGTCGGAATGACATCTAATGCCAATCGAAGATTTATCAAACTTATCTGTCGTTTGATAACACAAACTGACATGTACTTCGTATTTTCCTCCCTATTACAATCATTTATTGACATAAAGATTACTAAGAATGATCCTCATTATGACATAGCATCACTCTTTGTTGAAAAATATCGCACTACAAAACGTATAGAAAATTTATTGACCCTATATACACTTGAATGTCCTTTCTACAAAAGTCTTGGATATGGAGATGAAACTGCCCTTTTGTATATGCCTATTATATGGGAACTGCACAAACTACAACATCGTGCTTTTACTGGACGTTCTTATCGTGGTTTGACCATGACTCAAAAAGACTTTCGTGCTTATCAATGGGCTGAAGAGAATCACGAACGAAGCATAACAATACAAAGTTTCTGTTCGACATCTGTAGTCGAGAAAGTAGCACTTAAGTTTTCAGGTGTAGGAAATGGACAGACGAGTATTTCCGATCGAGTACACGTTTTAATGGCAATGGACTTTCGAACCGCATGCCCGACAGCCATTCGTTTGTATAAAATATCGAAAAATACGGAATGCTTGTCAGCATACGAGGAAGAACTAGAAGTTCTTGTCTTGCCCGGAACGATATTTCGTGTCACTAGTATTGAAATAATGAACTCGGTGTATGTCATTTATCTGGAGAATATTCTAGCGAAATGGGAACCTGATTTAATTTTGAAAATTATGACTAGACAAAACATGGTGAATGAGTTAAACGAAATGTTTCAAAAGGTATTATCCCAAACAGAGTCTAATTGATAGTAAAATCCATTTTTGACATATCAAAATAAAATTGTCGTTCTTGAGTGAACTCTTAGAGATCGTTACCGAGTGTTTGCGTTTGATAGCTTGGGTATGCATCCGGTTGTGGATACATGCATGGGTATGTAAGGTGAGCATAGATGAAGAGGGAACCGACATTAACGCCCACAACTCTACATTCAATCCCATAGGGTGTAAGCGTGAGATGATGTGGTTGTGGAGGGTAGAAGTGTCAGTTTTGGGTTCCTTATTGAAATCCAGAAATTTGTACAGGGTTAATGCAGCCTGATAGAATAAGTGCTTTCTTAAGTGTTCATATAATCCGAAACGAAACTTACTGTAGGTTTCGGTCTTTGGAAGTGGAACCCTAGAGAACAAAGAATTCTGGTACGCCTATTGGAATGGGTGGGAATGGTTTCGAGTAGGTGTGGGTGCCGGAATGGATGTGGATCTTCTTCAGATTGACCTAAATCCACCAACTCTTCTACACCCACACC